AAATTGTTTTACCTTAGGTTCTACTCATACCTTCGATAGTCTAGAGACAGGGCTCCAAAAGTGAAAGTTGTTTGAACATCCGACGTCATAAATACTGAAGGTTGTTTAAAGAAGATCAGAGAAGAGAAAATGACGTAAAATGGGTATAAAAAGCAAAAGAAACTGCTGAAAACCGGATAAAAAGGCTGCAATAAAGTCTGAAATCTTTCATGGCGGCTTTTCAGAGCGCAAGTTTCCGCTCCACGACCAGCAATTCGCAACGGAGTTTTGATTTTTGATGCGTCCTTTAAATTTTTACCCTCGCATTGACGTTCTTAATTCCTGGGACGTTGTCTGGATCGTTGCGCTTATTGTTATGAGCAACAATCGCCCAAGCTGGAGAAAAATCGATGCGAAAGCACTGATACAGAACAGAATAAAGAAAAACGCACATTTTACGTTTTTCGCAAAAAATTTCACCATAATCGGAAGGTAAGGGCTGGGTGGTTGTCTGCGTTATGAACAGAAACAAGATCTATAGAATGCACGAAAAAACCGCGTGAAAAGAGTTAAACTAGGAGAAAAACAAGGGATTTTCGAAAACAAGGTTTTTGCCGGATTTTTCGATCAAATCAAAAAATGTGGTTCTGGGACGTTGTCAGCGTGGAAATAGAGATCAAGAGCTTCAAAATGATCAATAGCTTATTAAATTTGGGTTCGAAACAGCGAAGAAAAGGGTACCAGAGCCAAATGCCCCGCGCCCCGTATTTGGGGTAGCGAGTTAGCGCGCAGAGCGACGAGCAACAGAGACAGACCAGAGCCGACGGGGCATTTGACTCTGGTCGTAGATCTCCGCGGGGTCTCAACGAGACCCTGCAACATTATATATCATTCTGATTGTCATGACACGACAAGGAGAACTGACAACGTCCCAAGCTTTGAAAATCACTCATTAACGGGAAAGACCAGCATTTTCGTGCGCGATTCTCTGCGCAACAATTAAGCGCAGTTTTCCATTTTCATTTAACTCCAGTAGCTTTCCTAAACTTTTGAAACTCTATTTTGGTCAAATGAAAGGTTAACTAAGAAATTTTGTCCTGAATTCTGGCGAAAATTCCATAGAAACCTTCTTTTTAACGTGAAAAAGGCTATGGAAACGCAAATTCTCGGTTTTGCTAAGATAAGCTAAAGATATTATTCCCTATATTTCGGATGACTTCTGTTTTCTTCCAGGTGAAGGTTGTGTCCCCTCATAGCCCTCAAAGTGAAGGTTACCAGAGTACGTGGCTCTATGTATCAAGGGTATGGTTCTACTCCACTTCAAGCACATATCATCTCACCCCAAAAGATTTTTTTTCCTCCCTCCAAAGTGAAGGGGGGGGGGTAGCCCAGGCTCCAAAGTGAAGGGAGGGTGAGATTCATCTCAACCCTTCGCACCTATGCTGCCCATGCAGGTAACATTCTAGACTTAGTGCTCTCGTCTGCCTCAGACATCTTGAATGTGACTGTGCTTCCACCTCTTCGCTCTTCGGATCATCGCATTATCTTTTTGATCTTGAAATGATGTCAAATCTGACTGTTCCCACTCTACCTCTGCCTGATTTTAGAAATGTAGACTACGCTTTTCTTGGAAGCTATCTCTCCACTATCAATTGGCTTTCTCTTTTTGATAGATATATTTCTTGTTTTGATGTTTACAAAAGATTTTGCGATGTTCTTTATGCAGCTCTCGGTTGCTTTGTTTCTCTAATATTTTCGTTTATGCATACTCCCATCCTCGCCACAGCTGCGTGCTCTATTCTTGCAGAAACAAATTTTTCTGATACGATAGACAATCCTCTTTGTAATCCACTTTACAAAAAAGTTTGTGCCGTTATAGACTATCATTTCAAAAAGTTCAGAGCGTATCATTAAGAAAACTTGCTGCTGATACATCATCCCGACATCTTTTTCTATATTTGAAGAAAAAAATGAAACGTACTACTAAACTTCCTGTCCTTAGAGATGCCTACGGTGTTTTGTACATTGGTGATACTGATAAAGCCGAAGCCCTTGGTACTTATTTTGCTAGTATCTATTCTCCTGTTAGTAATTATGTTGCATACACTGCTTCGATGGCTGTTAATGTGACGCCAACTCAGGGCTGTGTTGACGTTTACTTTCATCCATCTAGTGTGTACAACCAACTTTCTTAGAAGACTCAAGCCCTCCCTTACGGAAACTTCTGACGGTATACCGCAATTTGTGTATTTGAAATGAGCGTCATCGCTTGCAGCTCCACTTGTACACATCTTCCCTATATCGATGATGTTGGGAGAAGTTTCAGCTATGTGGGAAGAAGCCTTGGTTACACCATTCTAAAGTTGATGGAGCACTTTTTCTTATCAATTTTCGTGCCATTAGTTTACTGCCTATCCCTGTCAAAAACTTGGAGTGAATTGTACAAGGTACTTTAATAAATTGGCTCAATAACTCGGGTCTAATCCCTAATGAACAGTATGGATTTTTGAACTGTGCTTCTACCACCACCGTTCTGGTTGACAGTGTGTTCGGTGGAGCTTGGCAATCAATGAGGGCAAATCTGTTGACAGTATTTAGGTTGACCATACTAAGGCATTTTATAAGGTTTGTCATTTCAAATTATTGACTCAAATGAGCAAAATCGGGATTGGAGGTAAGATGCTTTCCTGCTTGACGTCTTATTTGCGTGATCGACATATGACTGTAAAAGTTGGACATCATTGCTCCAAAAAGTATTGACTAGTGGTGTGCCTCAGGAGGATGTTTTAGCCCCTTTGCTCTTCCTGATGTATACTCTCGACTTACCTTCTGCTCCAAAGCTTCCTCTAGCATGCAAGTAAAAATGAATGCTGATGATATTAAAAATTATGGAGCATATGATGAAGAGAAAGCCCCAGAAGTTCAGCTGGCATCGCAAACTTTTCTTGATAAATTGATTAAATAGTGTGACAACTAGGATCTAGCGTTGAACCTTGACAAATGCTCAACGCTTTATCTTGGAGGTGGTCCTACAATCTCCTATCTGAGCAAAGGCACTACGGGGAAAGGATGTGATGTTAGGGATCTGAGCGTCTTGACTGATACAAGCTTTAGCTTCATTGAGCACATTAATATGACAACTAAAAGCATATTCTTTGCCTTTCATGCTTTTTCGCAATACTAGTACCAACTTCCCAAGGATACTTGTATCTATCTATAATGCATTTGTTCTCCCTCACTTAGAATACTGTTCTCATCTGGTCTCCCTCCCGCAAGAAAAAATATGCGTAGAGTGAAAGGTTCAACAGCTTCTAACAAGGCTGTTGTTGTATAGACGTTTATCACCCAGAATGACCCCTCCTAAATACCAACCCGCCTTAAGAAGATTCATATGGAGTTTAAACACATCGCCGGGTATTTTCGGATCTTGTAATCCGCTTTAAATTTTTGAGAAAAGAGGACAGACTAAAAGCTAGCAAGTACTGGATTTTTTCCTACCAGTGAAAAGTCGTGGTTTCTTTAACCTGCAATATCTAAGAATCCGACGCAGAAAATACCAACTGATGTTTAATAACGTATTTTGCAGAGTAGCTAGGTGGCTTTCGCGTCTCCCTATTGATATTACTAGTGTAGATAGTAGCCATATTTTCAGGGATAGACTAAAAAGACTTGAACTGTCAAGTATCGTTGGAATTGATTAGCGTTGCCTCACAGTCAAAGCCTTTTTGTATCAGAGATGCTGGACTTGTCCCTATTTGCTTGGGATGTGCTATACGGCTGTGTTTGTGGATGGATCTCCGGTAGGCTTTGTTTTCTATCACATTTTCTTCCAAGTTTCATCTTTAAAAACTGCCATTTCAGGTACTTCTTTAGTCTTGTGATGGTTTGTTCAATTATGGCTATAATTTATGGCTTTGACGTCTCTTGTGTGTCTCTTCATGTCGCGCCATTCTTGTAATTTCGGTGTACTCGTTTTCTTCGTTATTAACCAGTCTTATCACCATCTTGGTCCGAGTCTTTTTCGCTCATCTATCTACTATTCAATCGCACAGCTTGCTGATTCAACCAAATGGATTATGTGAATTGTTTCACTTCGGGGTCATTGGGTCTCCTCAGCATTCCGGCTAGGAGGAGTTATGGTTATTATGTCCGGGCCAGTAGAACCGCCTTATAAACTGCCGGTTTGCTTTTAAGAGTAACGTAAAGATTGTTCCGCTGGCAACGAGGGGGCAGATGTCTCCTTGGAGTTCTAAGAGTTTTGCAATTATGAGTATCGATGTCTATCAATACCTACATTTGTATACATATCTATTAGCCTTTCCACATATTCATTGCAAGCCGTTTCATCTTTCTTACATTAGTCTGACTAGGATTAGATTCAGACTGACAAGATGATGTCTGCTTTCGTTTTCACATTTCTTGTTCATTCCGCTGTATTACTAACTTCTCGATGTTTTTAAGGAACGCCTTGAGAGAATGAAAAATGAAATGAAAAGAATGCCAAAGGTTCAGATTTAATAAATGAATAGGCACTAGGTAAAGAATCAGATTAGTTGCGTTTTCGGAAAAGTTGAGGAAATTAAGCAATGTCAGGAAAATGCAGTTAACGAATGCTCCCACATTTTGATAGTCTCACATTATCTTGACCCGCAATTACTTTTCTTACCAGAATTTTGACAACGCAATCCTCCACAAGACATCGACCTCTCGCGCATTCGAACCTGCATGCGTTGACTTTAAGGGCGATCGCGTTAACCAGTCGACCACTCGATCACTTATTTCCGTTCGCAAAACAATAACAGAAGCGTACAAACAGGAGGCGCCTCTCGATTATGGCGCTTGCCATAATCGATAAATCATGGCATACATTTCATAATCCATCATTAATGAATATATCTATGAATTAATAGAGATAAACCGGCTTGTCTCATCTAGCACAACTCCATCTACATCCCAACGCCGAAATAACAAAACAACGGTATATGGACAGAATTACTACGATGTTTTGATTGCATCAATGCTTAATCTTGCTCTCTTCTAAAATTAATTGTTAGTGGAGTCGAGTCACTAGCCTTTGCCCGCAGGCTCGTTGGTACTCTGAAAGAAACACTATGATTTTTGAAGGAAGCAAGGTTTTGTTTATTCTGCAATTCCACATGACAGAACGAGAACTTAGTTCTGTGTTTACCTAAAAGTTTCAATTTGTGATGTTCCCGATGGCGATGGAAGATGCTCGGGTCGCCTAGTTTGGAACCTTGTTCTCTGCTAATGAAAACGGCAGATGGTTCACCGATGAAAACTGTTCATTCGTCGTGACGGATCAAAGGGCAAACAGAATTATTCATGGTGAAGGATACTGCTACGTCACTGCCAAAACTAACAACATTAACACATATTTGGTCTAAGGGAGCTTCCAGACCGCGCCGGTTGCCGCTTTTGCAGCCGAAGCGCAGTGGGTCAAGCCATTGTTTCCGTAGCGCGCGTGTGGCACGAAAACTCATTGATCAATATATTTTTCTGCGTTTTTTACATCTGCTTCTCAATTTGTTTGTTATAGGCTGGTTTCGAGGTACCAGTTTTAGGATGATGATCGCTTGAAAATTTGAAACACTGTTTGGACAGATGCGCTAATCGTTTACATAAAGCTGGAGTTTAAGAAGTGACCTGTTTTTTCAATCTTTATTGATCTCAAGTTTTGTGCGTTTGTGAATCATGCGGTTAGGGAAGCTGCATGCAATGTCTAAGAGCATTTGCCAAATCCTTAATGAGGCATGGTGCAATATCCCATGGTGCAACCATTACCCAAAAACTCTTGCCTCGAAACGAGCCTATAGCAGTCAAAATAAGAAACAAATGCAAGAAACACAAGAAAATAGGTTGATCGAAGAGTTTTCGCGCTACAGCCAGGGAGACAATACCTTGACCCACTGCGCTTCGGCTGTACTAGCGGCAACCGGCGCGAAACGGCTAACGGCTGCAAAAGCAGCAACCGGCGCGGTCTGGAAGCTCCCTAAAGTGGTGCATTCAACTACCTGCATACAAGAATTTGAAGGATAGACACCACTGCTTTTCAGTTGAGCAAGAAGATCTCAAAGTGGCGCAAGTCATTTTGGATCCAAAGCAATCTTCTACGAGAAAGTTTGGATATCGGCTCCCGTGTCGAGTTGAAAGGGTAGTGACCGACTTTTCATTTTGACATTGTTGTATGTACGAGCGAGTTATGCTGTGAACCTACTGGGCTTCTTGCAGTGGTTTTCCTGCAGTAAGTTCCTTTTCTCTGTCCAGCCTGAGTTGCTTGTTCAGCTCAAGAAGGCGAGTATGGGCGTATTTTCCTTGAGTTCGAATTTCCACATTTTGAGTATCTTGAGCTCGTTTTTCGTACTGCTTATACTGTGCACTGTGCTTCCACATCTGCGTTGTCCTTATTCAACGCTCTCAGATTTCGCACTCATTGACAAGCTCTTCAATCGTCATTGTTCCCTCTTTCTGCGCTTCTAGTCGCCGGAGCAACTTCAAGCGATTGTCGCGCAGGGAAGGATCTTGGATTCCTGCGACAAACGGCAGTGTCTTCAAAGCAGTATAGTCCAACTCCTTCATCTGCGCCTCCTCATCCGTGCGCTTGATCCGAATCGCGTAATCGATCGTAAGGATCCTGTCCTGCCGTAAGTGGTGGACAATCTACAGGGTGTCCCAAAAGTAAGTACACACTTTTCAATCGTTAATTTCTCTCTTCCCATTGGGTCTTTTTTCGTCATTCAAGTACCATTCTGTAGAGGAGGCTTCAACTTAGATTCATAGTACAAAGTAAATCACCGATCGCTCTTCATTAATGTAGGATTACGGTATGAACTTCCAGCATGTGGAACCATTGTGAAATATGCCATCTGACAAAATTTTTCTGAAAAAATCTGAAAATCGTGTACTAGGGTTTTGGCGCACGCTGATTCCACTACACAACTTTTTGTTTTCAGATTTATGACTTTGCAATCACATTTCTGACAAATGAAAATTCGCTTATTGAGGTTTACCTGCGATAATCTAATATATAAAGAATCGTCAGAGCAACTCAAAAATCTGCAAATAGTGGGAAACCGCGGTGCGGTCCCGAAGCGCGCAAATGCAATCTAGCCCCTTTGCTTACTGGTCCTCTAGTGAATTTGAAACGAAACATCAAAGTTAAGTGGAAATTTCATGTTTGAAATCAGCGGCTTTCATTACCAATGTAAGAGTTTTCGGCATGTTTGATCTTATTTCAAAACAGAATATGTCCTCCAATGGCCAAAAGCCTTGTCGAAGTTTTTACAGTAATCCTACAGTAACGAAGAGCAAACAGCGATTCGGTCCATATGATAAATATAAGTTGTAGCCTCCTCTACATAGTAGTACTCAAATGGCGGAAAAACACCCAATGGGAAGAGATATTAGCGATTGAAAAGTGTGTACTTACTTTTTTGACACCCTGTATTTTGAGCCACTCGTATCTTCCTCGTACGAGTGTTTTCTTGGATGCGAACAAGGTCATCAGCCTGGCGACTCGTCTCGAAGTCCAATTCTTGCGTCTTTGGTGGGAGGATGTCGTCTGCGTATCTGTTGAGCCTCCTTGCTCATCTTCGTTGGAATGAGGTCCCTTTTTTGTCACTGTTTCTGTTTCGGGCACTTCGGCCTGCCTGATCATGGGGCTGTACGTGCTAAACCAGTAAGAAAATGTCGTACCTGCTTCCTCCTCAGGCACGAAGTTGCCACGCCCCTGGTCAGGTGGTCGCATGTGCCTTTTCTTCAGTCTGGGTCTTGGTTGTTCTGGAGGGTCCTGAACAGCAACATTGTTTCTTCATGCTGCGCACTCATTGCTTCTTGCTGGATCTTCATTTGTTCCTGCAGCATCCTCGTCTGTTCTTCGAGTTGACTTTGCATTTTCTCTTGTTGAATTCTCATCCACTCGATAAGAGCAGTGATGAGGCTACTATCCAACAACTTTTCTGCCATCCTTGATCTGGAGCGTTCGGCCGTCCGTGTTGAGCGTTCGGCTGTTCTCGGCATAGTAAGCCTCGTCCCTGATCGCCATTGTTATGTACGATCGGATGCAGAGAAGCGCTATTCGAGGAGCAAGTCACAAGACTGAGAAGTGTACGACTGTCACGGGTATATATAGCTGACTTATTGTCGTAAACAAATACGATATCGTATCATATCAATTAGCACATCATTCCTTAACATTTTCCACTTTTCGCTAAGATAAAATTCAACTAACTCGACAAAACCCGTGAAGTGCTCTTTCATAAATAACATCTACTAGACACGTCACAGAGCTTTACTTTTATACATAACATCTACTAGACAAGTCATTCAGAATATTTATGCGGTTCTATTCATTGTATTCGTGGCTCCAAAAAGGGCCACTGTCAAAGTTATTGGCGCTCAAGAGAACACTTGGGCTAGGGCTTCACAACTAAAGTCATCAAGGAGCTTATTTACTTCGTAGAGAGCGCTGAGGCGTAGATGCATCGATGGCGGTGATGTCCTTCGAGTCTTGCAGTAAGTGACGGCGAGTTCCCATAAGAAAACTGCGTAAGGTATGCTTTTTGTAATTGACTTCCTTATTGTCCCCTTCTTACCAGTCAGTGAAAAAATTTGTGAAATTTTTGGAAAAAAAACAAAGTTTTTGTGAAAATCGACTTTCAACTCCCTCCCCCCCCCCCCCGCGGTCGAATTCTTTGGACAATGGGTGCCCGGCGCTATCACCTTCACTTTTGCCAGCTAGTGATAGCTGGGACCATCTCACTTGAAGAGGCCGGCTCCCCCCATCACATCTCTGCCTCTGCTCCTTGAAACTGCAAAATAAGATAAGGGGAGCGAGCACATCGGGGTTCTCACATTTTCGTGAAGAAAATCTAAAAGTGTTCAATCCCATAAATTTAACAGATAACACGACGCAAATAACGAAGAACTTTGGTGCAGTAAACTATCCTTTCAGCCTTGATAAGATAACATTTGTAAGACAATGTTATGTGAAAAATATCTGGTAGCGTTCAAATTGTTGTCGCATTGAGTAGACAAGAAGTCTTAGGCACCAGCCAGACTTCGCTCATACGCTCAAAGCACTCAAAAGCACCCAGAAGCGCCCAAACTTTCATCTCTCTCCACATTTCTCCCCTCACACTCGTTCCGCTTGGGTGTCAAGCGTGCTGGCGCTTTTAAGGCCCGTATGCACGTACATCCCCGCTGGGGAGAGGAGTGGAGCTGGATCCCTAGGGACACGATCCCCTTCAGTGAACCTCGCTATGTCAGAGGGGAGGGGAGCGATCCATCTACAGCGGGGATAGCGTGATAGCGGTAGTCGCTTCTACCTCACGGCTATTACAAGACCTCGCTGAAGAAGTTATTTTCAATTCTAATGTACAAGAATGGCTTTTGAAAACAAAGCGTACAAAAATACTAATTTCGCATGCCTTTGTCCCTTCCTCACTCTTCTCCTGTCAGTTCTCCCACTGTATGTCTCCCTCTCTCCTTCGCTCTCTTTCTCCTTTCCATACTGGTTCTGAGGCTTGATTATATCGTTACATGCTGTCAGTAGCAATAATGTTGTTTTGAAGTATTGTGAGGTATTTAACAGTTCACATTAAAATTTTTTTGCAATTATGTTATGGCGATATACTTCTCGTACAAAAAAATTCGTGTATGAGTAGCATTTTGTTTCCATGGTCGCAGCATCAAATTGAGCATGTGTTTCCAGAGGTATGGACCGAACGAACCCCATTGAGTTCCCTTCCCTTCCCCTCCCCATATGCACGAATGTACATCAACAACGCGGGGAAGGGGATCAACATCTTCTGCAACGGAGTAGGGGTTGGCTTATGTAGGTCATGCCAGAGAAGCGAAATTCTGGTTTCAATCAGTCATTACGGATCATTTTGTTCATTTTGATGAAAGATTTCCTTTGGCAGCCAAGTTCCTCTCTCAGCGACCTGTAGCTTGCAATATTGTCTCTCTCTTCTATATTCGTTTCTCGAGAAGAAACCCGAGCATATAATAGCTGCCAATTTCAGATATTTGCGGGAGTTTTTGATCATTCAAGAAGGTTGCGTTTTTTATATCACATGGTAGTTTTAACCATATAAGCTGATTAAACAGATTGTAACTACCATATTACATGATATGCTGTCTTTATCCTGTTATCTTAACATAAGTTGCCTCGCAAAAGTTTAAAAAGTAGCAGGTTTCCCTACTATTGAATAAAGATCCCGGAAGAATGATCCCTTCCCCAGTGATCTCTTCGTGCATAGCAGGGATGGTCGCTGGGGATCATTCCCTTAGAGGAATGGACGGCACGTCGCTAATAGCTACAGCCCCTAGGAGCTGCCACGATTGGCAGCTTCTGTTATGTATAGAAATGCTGTTTTGAGTGTCCGCGGCACCCCTTCCCCCTTTTTTCGGCAGCGTAACGCCTTCTACCCATTCTGCAGAGCATCTTGGCTTCTCTTGTTAAACATCTTTGCGTTAAAATGGGCAGCATGGGCGAAAGTGAGCAGCAGTCATGGAAACAGCAGGAATCTGATGGGCATAGGGAATTTATTTTTGGTGCGCCGAGCGCAATTACGGCAGACGCGCATTCCGCCACGACTAAAGTATTGCCGATGACAGAATAAAGACGAATAGCTGTCAAAAAATGAGAACAGAGAAGTATTAGGTCGTGTAATAAGTTCTGTCCCATTTTTTGTTTTAGTTTTTTCTTGACAAAATCGACTATATTTAAGATAAAGTGTGTATGCTTTTGAAAGCACTAAGTCTGCTCTGCAGGCTCATATGCATTATTCCCCAAAATAGCAGGAAATCGAAAAAGATTTTTCATCGTTGAAACAAAAAATCCAAAGAGCCGAAAAATCAATTTTCGACATCTTTTTTCCTCCAAATTTTTCTCGATTTTTGTTGGTAAAACTTATTAAACAAGCTTGACAACAACCAAAACAATCTACTAGACTTTTACACTTATTCTATCACTGTTTGCGCATGGTCCTTTCCTTCCACCGGCTATTTAACGACACTTTTTCAAAAGTCGGCAATGTAAGACTTTGTCACGGCGATGTTCGCCGTTCTCTCGTACCCAAGCTGTGTGGCTCCCAAAATTTGAATTTTGAGTATTTAACCTACGAATACGATAATCTTAAAGCCACGAACCATCCCTTCTGTCTTTTCTGGATGATCCGCCTACCGTCTTCCCTCAGAATGTCTTCAGATGATGCCTAACACCAACGTTGATAAGGCGTTAAAAAGAAGACTTTCCTAAAGTCTACAGAAATAATTTTTGAAATGTTTCAGCACTTTTGAAGCGCGATAGAAGCTGAAGCACACTTTGCTTACGTGTAACAAATTCTTCGAGCTTTTTCCTAGGCATTCTGACTAATTAGGAGGGCGACGTAACGCAGTTGTCGAAAATGGACTTTTTCCTTGTTTGATTTTCCAAATTTGACGCTGTAAAACTTTTTCAAGTCATCTGATTTAGAAAACCGAGATGAAAGTTTTGATAGAGAAGGCTTAGAGCTTTCAAATGCATATAAACAATTTGCAGAACATCGCGCAAAATATTGAAAAAGATCGAGAGAAAAAATGGGACAGAACTTATTAAACCTAATAATTATCACAGAAAAGCGGATGCGAAGTGATTTCCCCGCCCGATCCCCTTGTGCATAAGGGGATTCACTTCTGGTACTCCCAGATCCATCCCTCCTCCGATATTGTCTTTGTGCATACGGGGTATCGCGTGGGGAGGGGAGGGGAGCTCCAGCGGGGATCATTTCAACGGTATAGCACATCCCCCCCCCCCTCCGCGGGGATGTACGTGCATACGGGCCAGCTAGCGCAGAACGTGTGAGGTGAGAAATGTGAACGGAGATTAGAGATCCAGCGATTTGGGCGCGCTTTCAAGCGAATCTGACCGGTGCCTTATGGAGATCGGAAGAGTTACCGGCAACTACTGCTGGTGTTGCTGTGGTTGTCAGAAACTATTATCTATTGAAATCTATTGGAATTCTATTGACCTTAGCTACAGTAGCTCGCCAACGTGGCCAAAAAACGCAACCCGACTGCCTCTTGCCTTATCTTCCGTGTTACTTATCACATCGCTGTTCTTTTTTTTATCCTGGCATCTCCGCGGTTACTCGGGGTCTGCAACTCTTAGTCTCTTCCATAGTTCGCGGTCAAGGGCTTGTTATTCTTTGATCTTGAGTTCTTTCAGATCCGCTTTGCTTTTATCCGACCACCTCATCTTCGGCCTTCCTCGGGGTCTTTTTCCTGGTACATCTTCTGACGTGGCCGTCTGGTGATGTGGCCTTCCTCTCTTCTTTTCACGTGGCCGTACCATCGAAGTCTGGTTTTCTCTTGCATCTTCTGGGTTATGGGGGCTACCTTCATCGTGGCTCGTACGGTGTCATTGATGACGTGGTCCAGCATAGTGAGGCCCATCGTCCATCGAAGCATTCTTGTCTCCATCACGCTCATCTTTCGTTCGTCTTTGCGCGTGCATGGCCAACATTCGCTACCGTATAGAGCAGTAGGCCGAACCACTGTGCGATACATTTGCGTCTTCAGGTGTAGCGGCATCCTTCTGTCACACATGATTCCTGTGAGGTTTCTCCACTTCAGCCAAGCTGCGCTTATTCTGGAGGATATCTCGTCCTTTATCGTGCCATCGGAGGTGAGGTAGCTTTCTAGGTACTTGAAGGCCGTGGTCTTCTTAATCGGCGTGTCTTCGATCTGGATTGTTCCGGGTGTTTGAGCTCCCAGTTCCATGTACTCTGTCTTCAAGGTATTGATCTTCAAGCCAAGTTGCTTCAGCTGGGTCGTCCACATCTGCACGTCCGCTTCCAACTCCTTTCTGCTTCTTGCCATCAGGATCACGTCACCTGCATACATGATAGCCCATGGTGGTCGGCGAATGAAGTCTCTGACTATTTCATCGACAGCCGTGATGAACAGTAGGGGCGAGAGTA